TGTAAAAGCTTCGTGCCATGCTTTTAAATTTAATTAATTTGCAATGCACTGTGTAATGATTTAAATTCCAAAACAACGTACTCGATGAAATAATTTGGAATACACATAATTTTGTTGTAAGTTGAATTGGAATTCTTTACCGACTTAGGTACATTTTAGAATTCTATTACAATCTATATTTATTCGGAATCAACCTAGGTGGATTCTAATTCCATTCTGACGTACGACATATATACAGTATATCTTTGAGAAGAAAGCCTTCTTCTATTTAATATTCTGAAGTAGATCTGAAAGTATAAACTGTAATATCATAATTTATGTTATCTTTAATGTTAGCATCAGCCAATAAAAACGAACTTTACACTATGTTACTTCAATTTTACGAAAAATTCGTCAAATACGTAGAAAAGGAAATAAAGGTTACTTGTGCTGTAAGTAATTTTTATGTTTATACCAATTATCTAGTTTTTGAGTTTCATTTATATTCAACTATATATTTTAAATTTTAAATGGTAATCCATTGATACGATTTCACCAACTTAGGCTTAAGAAAACTACGTAATTAATACGTATGCTCATTAATACATTAATATGAAGCTTTAAGTTACACGTTTCGATTATTTTGTCAAAGTGAAAGTCAAATGAAATTCTAAAGCTGACCGGCTGAATTATCAAACCCTATTTATCATTATTATTTAAAGTGCGAAATATTCAAGATAACTATATATTAAATAACAGATAAAGTATGTATGTAACTATATACATAAAACAATATAAAAATTTTTTAAATTGTGTAACAATCTTCAAATTGATTAGCGCAGTAATTTAATAAAGCAAAATTTTAACTCGCAATATTAAACATTGATATTTCTTCGGCTGATATGGACGTGTTAGTTGACTTTGATAATATTTATTCATATGTACTTGTACCCCATTCTTGAAATGTGATTAAGCTAATTTCATGTATATACTTTAAAAAACGCGTCAAATAACGATTTCAATAGCGCCACAGAAATACGCGACGAAGATTCGAATGATTGCATTTCTATCTTAATTGCTACTGATAACCATTTGGGTTATTTGGAGAATGATCCGATTCGTGGACAGGATTCTTTGAATACTTTTAGAGAAATTTTGCAGATAGCAAAACAAAATGACGTAAGATAAATGTGGCAGCACGTAAAATAAGAAATTTCTTATTACAAAATTCAACAGAAAAATCCAAATTTTTGATATTAAGGTTGATATGGTTCTATTGGGCGGGGATCTTTTTCACGAGAATAGACCTTCTCGAAAGGTACTTTACGAGACTATGAAAATACTTCGTACTTATTGTATGGGCGATAAACAATGTCAATTGGAAATCATTAATGATGATACTGAAAATAAAGAGTTAAGATTCTCCCAATGAAGTTTTTCATTTTTGAAAATTCTATGATTGTTCATTTTTTTATTTAAATAATTTTTTTCTTATTATTTTACCAGTGATAACTTTATTAAAGTGAACTTTCAAGATCCTAATTATAAAATTGCAATGCCTGTGTTTTCTATTCATGGCAACCATGATGATCCATCCGGAGTACGTGTAATTCGATCTTTGTTAATTTATTTTTTTTCATTTTATCATCTCATATTAAAGCCCAACACCATTCTGCAAGGATGGAAACCTTTGTGCCTTGGACGTTCTTGCAGTTTCAGGCCTCGTAAATTATTTTGGTAAAACCAATGTCGTGGAAAATATTGTTGTTAAACCAATATTATTAAGAAAAGGCAGAACTGCATTAGCATTATACGGGTTGGGAAATGTGAGAGACCAACGGTTACATCGAATGTTCACAGATGATGCTGTCAAAATATATCAACCACCTACTTCAATATCAAATGAATCTTTCAATATGATGGTATTGCATCAAAACAGGTGTGATTTTAGTAATAATATTAATAATTATGAGTATCACCCAAATATATTTATTCCTTTTTTTTTTTTTTTTTTCTTGCATTGTAGAGTTGCACATTCAATTAAAAATTATATACCTGAACATTATTTGCCTGATTTTATGAACATGATTATCTGGGGTCATGAACATGATTGCAAAATTGAACCAGTATACAACGAGCAGCAAAATTTTTATATTTCTCAACCTGGATCATCTATTGCCACCAGTCTAATTGAGGGTGAACTTGAACCAAAGTATGTTATTGATTTAAATTTTAATTGATCCGTAGACTTATTGTAATCTACTAAAATTTCTGAATTTATTGATGATAGACATGTAGCCAAATTGAGTATAATTGGAGATCAATTTGATTTGCAAAAAATTCGTCTTCGCACCGTTCGCCCATTTGTAATGGGTGAATTAACATTAAAAGATGTTCAGGGGCTCGATCCTACCAAGACATCAGCAGTGAGTGCTCTTTTAATCAAAAAAGTAGAAGAACTTATTCTAGATGCCAAAAACCAATGGCTTGAAATGAATGATTACAATGACGATTTAGAAGATGAAATGTTTCCTCTTCCTTTAATTAAGTTAAAGGTAAATGTTCATATAAAATGTTTTGTGCATTAAATATACTAAAATATAAATATCATTATTACTATTATTTTCTTAGGTAGAATACAGTGGTGGATTCACAGTTTTGAATAATCGACAATTTGGTCAGAAATTTGTAAACATTGTCGCAAATAATCATGAAATATTACATTTTCATCGTAAAAGAGTATTAGGTATGATTCATTTTTTATTTACAATATTTGAATATTACAATCCATTATATAATTTTATTGTGCTTTACGTTTTCAATAGAAAGGAAAAAAGATTCTGCGCAATCGATGAATTTACCTGACGAATTCGAAATGCCCGAAAATCTTTCCCATAATTATGTCACTGATCTTGTTACAGAGAATATGAAGAGTCTTAGCATATTACCGGAAAATGCATTAAATGAAGCCACTACACTTTTTGTTGACAAAGATGATCCTCATGCTATTGAAGGGTACTTATAATTAAATTATCATCTTTTTTTTATGAAACATGTATAAGAGAAATTAAATTGAAAAATTTTGCGTCAGATTCTATAATAATACAATTACAAAGACAAGGACGAAGCTTCGTCAAGACAAAAATCTGATTTGCGATGATAAAATTCTTATAGAAGAGGTTTGAGTAGTTATTGATGCGTCTCATATATGACTAAGTTATAATTTAAATATATTTTTAATACATATTTAGGCGCATAAGCAAAAAAATTTATTATCAAAGCAATATGCAGAAATGAATCCTGAGCAAAGGCAAATAGAGATGGTTGGTGATAATTCATTATCTTATTTGCAAATACACATAAATTAAGAATATATTTAAACTTAATATATTTATATTTTAGAGTAATAATGAAGCATCTGCCGATACAAATCAGCATGAAGGTGGCATTGATTCTGACAATCAAACTGGAACTAGCTCCAGAGCTAGATCTACATCAAGAGGAAGAGCCACAAAATCAACTAGGGGAACAGGCACCCGTGCTCGTGGGCGTGGTAGAGGAAAGACGACAGTTTCCAATAAAAAGGTTAATACGCACAATTATTATATTATATTTTGTTTATAATTCATATATTATTAAATGATTCCAGGATGATGCTGATTACATTGAAGACGATGAACCGCTTAGTGATGGTAGCGGATCAAAAAGACGAAAGGCTACAAGGTAATAATTTATTATTTCATGTACCTGCCTTATTAGATAATTTATGACACTGAAATTTTTAGGACCAAGAATGTTGATGTTGATTACATTGAAGATGATGAACCGCTTAATGATGGCAGCGGAGCAAAAAAACGAAAGGCTACAAGGTAATAATTTATTATTTCATGTACCTGTCTTATTAATTAATTTATGACACTGAAGTTTTTAGAAGCAAGAATATTGAAGAACCTCCGGCTAAACGAACGCTCACTAGTAAAAAGCCGACTTCATCAGCGTCACAGAGGCGGATCAACTTTCCAACACTAGCATCAAATTCTTCACAACAGTTAAGATCTCAAAGTCAGACTATGGTAAATATTAAAAGTTATTAATCCAAATTCGTTAGTTTATCATATTTCCGATCATTAATTATGGTTATCGATTATAGGATGTTGATGACGTAAGTTTTAAGGTGGAAGATCTGTGCAATTTTTAGGTATTGTCGTTATGTCTTAAATATACCGTTTTTTTAAAATTACAGGACGATTTTTTTGAGTGATGCGTCGATTCATTAGTTAAATTTAGCTGCTGTTAATAATAAATTATGTAATGATTTCATGAAAAAAAAAAGTAGAGATAAAGATAAAGGATTAGGGCTAAACAGTTTTTATAATAAAATTTAGCAAGGAATTTTTTTTTGTTAAAGCTTAAAAGATAGTTTTCTAGACAAAATTTTGAAATATAATTAATTTTTTAAAATTTTTTTATTTTTATTATACAAAGCTAATTTATATATTATATTTTAAATTTTAATTAGTTAAAATGCTTTAGCACTATAGTGCTATGATACTTTTTATTTTTTTATTTATAAGGTGATTTTCTTGGTTGGTGAGATTTTATTAAGGAAGCTAATTATCAGGTGATTTTCTGGGGGGGTCAAAAAGTTTGAAATTTTATATATAAGACCTGATAAATTATATATTAAAAACTAGGGGGGGGGGGGGGGGGGGGGACCCGGGAAAAAAAAAAAACGGGGAGAAAAAATGGTGCCCGAAGTAGATTT